GGGGGGAGAAAGAAAAAAAGAAAAACAGTCTATTTTTTAACATTTTTTTAAAATTCTAGGCAAGTGTTTGAAGCAAATGACTTTTTCCAGATGGCAGGTCTGACGGGAGACGGATGATGGGTGTGTGCATGCATTCAACAAACAACGGGGGAGAGTTTCTTCCGGTGTATAACAATGTATCCAGGCTAGGGAAGGGGGAGTTCCGGCAGAACAAACAGGAAAGCCGCAGGAGAGGCCATGTGAAATACATTGAAATCCAGTTGTTCAAAAGAAATCAACAACTAGGTATTTTGAAACATCAAATACATGTAATGCAAGGAGCAGAGCAGTCGTTTCAATAAAACTGTAACAGAAGGATGTGTGTAGGTCAGTGAACGAGAACGGACGAAATACGTCATCATCTCAAGGTTACTTTATATCAAGTTATAAAATGTGGACATTAAAATGTGGCGTGAATTGTCGGTTATACTCACTTTTGTTACTGTGTGTATCTTGAGTGTAATACTGCAATGATGTACAACGCTGTTACACATGTACTATCATTGGGGTCGCTTTTCAATGTACATCATTTAGTATTGTTGAGATTATATCTGTATTGTCGAAATTCCATCAGTGTTATCGGGAGTCAGTATGTAGTAATGGAGAGTCACAAATATATCAGTATTGTCGAAGGTGGATCAGTGTTATAGGGAGTCAGTATGGAACAGTCTTACAGTGTAATGGAGAGGCACAAATATATCAGTATTGTCGAAGGTGGATCAGTGTTATAGGGAGTCAGTATGGAACAGTCTTACAGTGTAATGGAGAGGCACAAATATATCAGTATTGTCGAAGGTGAATCAGTGTTATAGGGAGTCAGTATATAACGGTCTTACAGTGTAATGGAGAGTCTCAAATATATCAGTATTGTCGAAAGTCGATCAGTGTTATCGGGAGTCAGTATGTAAGAGTGTCTTACGTATATAACAGTCTTACAGTGTAATGGAGAGGTAGTAATCTATCAGTATTGTCGAAGGTGGATCAGTGTTATAGGGAGTCAGTATATAAGAGTCTTACAGTGTAATGGAGAGTCTCAAATATATCAGTATTGTCGAAAATCCATCTGTGTTAGGGAGTCAGTATATACAATTGTAACAGTCCTACAGTGTAATGGAGAGTCACAAATACATCACTCCATCAGTGCTATCGTGAGTCAGTATGTAAGAGGGGCCTAAAGCGTATTTGAGAATCACAAATATATCAGTATTGTCGAAAGTCCATCAGTGGTATCGGGAGTCAGTATGTAACAGTCTTACAGTGTAATGGAGAGTCACAAATATATCAGTATTGTCGAAAGTCCATCAGTGTTATAGGGAGTCAGTATATAACAGTCTTACAGTGTAATAGAGAGTTAGTAATCTATCAGTATTGTCGAAGGTCCATCAGTGTTATAGGGAGTCAGTATATACAATTGTAACAGTCTTACAGTGTAATGGAGAGTTAGTAATATATCAGTATTGTCGAAGGTGCATCAGTGTTATAGGGAGTCAGTATATAAGAGTCTTACAGTGTAATGGAGAGTCACAAATATATCAGTATTGTCGAAAATCCATCTGTGTTAGGGAGTCAGTATATACAATTGTAACAGTCTTACAGTGTAATGGAGAGTCACAAATATATCAGTATTGTCGATGGTGCATCAGTGTTATAGGGAGTCAGTATATAACAGTCTTACAGTGTAATGGAGAGTCACAAATACATCACTCCATCAGTGCTATCGTGAGTCAGTATGTAAGAGTGTCCTAAAGTGTATTTGAGAATCACAAATATATCAGTATTGTCGAAAGTCGATCAGTGTTATAGGGAGTCAGTATGTAAGAGTGTCTTAAAGTGTATTTGAACGTCACAAATATATTAGCATATTGTCAAAAGGCCATCAGTGTTATAGGGAGTCATGTAAGAGTGTCTTATAGTGTATTTGAGAATCACAAATATATCGGTATTGTCGAAAGTCAATCAGTGTTATAGTGAGTCAGTATGTAAGAGAGTCTTATAGTGTATTTGAACGTCACAAATATATTAGCATTGTCAAAAGGCCATCAGTGTTATAGAGAGTCATGTAAGAGTGTCTTATAGTGTATTTGAGAATCACAAATATATCAGTATTGTCGAAAGTCGATCAGTGTTATAGTGAGTCAGTATGTAAGAGAGTCTTATAGTGTATTTGAACGTCACAAATATATTAGTATTGTCAAAAGGCCATCAGTGTTATAGGGAGTCATGTAAGAGTGTCTTATAGTGTTTTGAGAATCACAAATATATCAGTATTGTCGAAAGTCGATCAGTGTTATAGTGAGTCAGTATGTAAGAGAGTCTTATAGTGTATTTGAACGTCACAAATATATTAGTATTGTCGAAAGTCGATCAGTGTTATCGGGAGTCAGTTTGTAAGAGTGTCATACAGTGTATTTGAACGTCACAAATATATTAGTATTGTCGAAAGTCCATCAGTGTTATCGGGAGTCAGTATGTAAGAGTGTCTTACAGTGTATTTGAACGTCACAAATATATCAGTATTGTCGAAAGTCCATCAGTGTTATCGGGAGTCAGTATATAAGAGAGTCTTACAGTGTAATGTCAAAAGTACAGTGGCTGATTTTAGCGTGCCTTTTTTCCGTCCTTTCGCGTGTGATTTCTCGGCTTTTCGTCTTTTCGGGATGGAAAGACGAGCGAACAAGATTTAAAGACAACTATGGGGCGAAAAGACGACATAACGAGAATTAAGGTATATTAGTTGTGTTTTCGGGGCGACAAGATGAAACAACGAAATGGCACAAATCGGCCACCGTACAAAAGTCAATCAGTGTTATCGGGAGTCGGTATTTAAGAGAGTCTTACAGTGTAATGTCAAAAGTACAGTGGCTGATTTTAGCGTGCCCTTTTTTCGTCTTTTCGCGTGTGATTTCTCGGCTTTTCGTCTTTTCGGGATGGAAAGACGAGCGAACAAGATTTAAAGACAACTATGGGGCGAAAAGACGACAAAACGAGAATTAAGGTATATTAGTTGTGTTTTCGGGGCGACAAGATGAAACAACGAAATGGCACAAATCGGCCACCGTACAAAAGTCAATCAGCGTTATCGGGAGTCGGTATTTAAGAGGGTCTGTACAATGTACATGAGAGTCAGAAAGTGTTGTTAGCCATTGGAGACTACAAATTACATATATGTTACATGTAGTAGTCGTGAGTCTATCGGTTTAGTCATGGTTTGTCAGAATAGTCGGAAGTCTATCCGTGTACACACCAATTCTATACCTGTCATCACTTAAACATCACTAAATTGACCGTAAAGATCCGCTCTTTGCGCTCCGTACCTCCCAGTGGGCGTGTCTGGGTACCGTGTAATGACAAAGTAGAGGATCGCAGACGAGGCGCGTCATTACCGTTTTCTCCGTCATAACCATGTAGTTTTACACACTAGTCTATGTCTCATCATTTCTACACTAATTATATAAAGAAACTCATAGAACATCAAAAGTGAAAAAAATGTTACAGAATCCCTGTGTTAAAAGCTTGTGTCTTTCATTATTTTAAAGAGTACAATATAGATTGATTTTCTACCGTCAATAAGTTGAGCATGCTTAACCTGATACAGCTCATAATTTATTTATAGCTGCTGGACAATGGTCAAAAGAAGTTCGTTGTGAGTGCTGACCAGTGCTGACCTTTTCTCATTAACCCTACTAGCATCTCTAATCCAACACATGGTCAAGCTAATAGCAACAAATTGTTCGTTTTGAGATGCATGAATGGATTTGGCCCAGATTTAATTTACCGTGTTAGACCTGCTTTGAAACGCGAGAGCAATTCAACAACTTGACGGCTGCAGTTCGATGCACGTGGCGCGCGACCCTAATTATATTCTGCAGTGGTTTTATCGCGCGCGCCGGTTCTGGTAGCTTGCTTTCTGCACTTCCGTTACAAATTATGTGTCTGAAGATCTCACATATGTTTCATGTTGAGAAAAAAGCGGAAGGTCCGTGGTATTTAAATAATGATATTCCAAACAATGCCAATGAGATTTCGAGGAGTTTACATCTAGTGATGATGCAGGTGCATTCATTTCCGAATTGTAAAGAACTTCTGTACAGGCGGCAAAAAGCGAAAACTAACGCAATCTTTTTTAAAAACGTGAGGAAATTTGACAAGATTTACACGACATGAATAGCAATAGGATGAAGATAAACCGATCTGTAAGATTATAAATCTCCGACTGTTGTGCATTGTCTGTGTAACTAACTGTTGCAGACTGGCATTTCCAATTAACGTTAACGACATCTGTTGCACACAGTAACTATTACTAAGCCATGTGATAAGTGTGTTTAGATTTCACTTGTGGGTCCCATTAATAATGACGTGCACATCAAGATTAAGTGACGTATTCATCACGTTTCACTTTGAGTAACAATTAATTAGTGTATTGTGCCATTAATTGACTTAGTCAATTTTTCACAGAGACGGGAGGTAACTCCGCGGCAATGTTACCTTGATTGCGATTACATAAATGCCGAGTCAATCTACCAATTATTACTAAGTTTAATGAGTATACATTTTACACCTTTAGCAATAATGCTTGTATTATACAGACACACACACACACACACACACACACACACACACACACACACACACACACACACACACACACACACACACG